AAACCGTGTGAATCAAAAGATGCATACTATGTATATTATATATATATATCGAGATAAACAAAATTAACTAAAAATACAAAATTGCAATTAAAAAAAATTTAATTTTATACACAAGTCATGTTAGGTACAGCTCCTGTTGTGCATAAGTAAACAAAATAAGTCTGCCATTTTGAAAAAGAATTAATACGATAGCATGTGTGACATTATATACATGTATCGTAAAGTTTGATTGTAACCAATAAAGGCATATTCATTAAAACGCTTGTCACTTGATATTTGATATATGTAATCTGAAAACAAAATTATGTTCAATGTCTTTACCAAGTTTGAATGATATCTGTCCATACTTTGAAACCAGATTCCGGAATGCCAGAAATGCTAGATTTTGATGCATTTGTATTAAAACCTTAAAATGGACGCTTCTTGGCCATCTTGAATTTGATCAGGAAATAAATACATGTGCATACAAGTATGTACGACTAGATGTATGATGTGTGAAGTTCAAATTAACCTATTCGATCCAGGCAGTTCAGATATATTGGGTTGGATGAACACACAGATACATTGACAGAAGCACAGAGTAATTTGCACTTTTCATGAAACAAAGGTATATGTGCTTGTAAACTTTTCTGCATTTCATAAAATACAAATTTTGCGAGTCAGTGAAAATCAGAAAAAAATTTGTAGTGAAAATTGAACGCTTTACAGAATTCACCAGGTGTTCTTCATCAACATCACAGTCACAGACTGTCAATGTTTTACACACGTCGGTATAGTGTCAAACATCATGTACACAATATGCAGCATGATACACCCCACTGACTGCCACATTGCTGAATACTTAACTACAAACCATGTAACAACCATGTACCTTTCCATGCTCAAACATCTCAACTCAAACATACAGCATTAATCAAGCACATAATTACCATATTAGCTGTCTCTTTTTTTTAAACTAAGGGGTCTTCTTAAAAATTATTAGGTTGATTATAATTCACCGAGGGGGGTGGGGGGCTTTTATTATTCTTTCAAATGCAATTTGCCATGACAGGCAAATACATCTCCAGATCCGAACCACCACAAATGTATACAAGTATATGAAACAACTAAAGTGAAAAAAAGAACTTTTCTGTCAAAATAAAATATTGAAAATATCCTTGTTTATTTAAACACCACTGCAGGATTGTTCACATGGCATTATAGAGTAAGGCTCTCTACTCTTCGACTTTTAAATAAAACCATAGCGCTCAATTATTATCATAATAAATACAATAGAGGTGATTAACATAGTGTATTGTCATGCAAATTTACCAATAAGCTATGCTGGTTAACATGTACAATGTGCATGCATATCTAAAACATGAAACAAACTACTTACAAATGAAAACAGACTAAATGACTGGGATCAATGTTACAATGCTCCCCACAACAGCAGATAAATACAAAACAAACAATTTTACTAAAATGTTTTCATGGTCAACTTGCAGCTTTACTATGGTTCATTTTTCTGGGTGTTCAACTAAACTCTTTAGTGATTGGGCTCAAATGTAATGTAAGGGGCAGAATCAGAGAAGTCGAGGACCGACACTTCAAAGTGAAAAACAACTATTACAAATACATTGATAAATTGATTGATCATAAAATGAAATATGTAATGTGGTTTTAAAAACTACCATCATAAACAAATCTTTGAAAAAAAGGAAAAAAAAAACAGAAATGAGATCTCAGGGGTTTGGAAAGCCCTAACATGGAGCATGCAATGCGTCAACAAGTACTACAAAGAAAAGCGAAGAAATAAGAGATTGCCCGCAGCGAGTTAAAAGCACACAAACAGTGCATAAGGTTGTTGTCGATATACGTACAATGTAGTATTGGTGTACCACTGATCAAAGTCCATGCATACGAATATTAATATTAACTGTCTTGAATAAGAGATAAATTAATAATTTAAAAATAACAACCAAACATTACCCTGATATTTCGTAACATATTCTCCAAAGTTCCCAATTGTTACCAACACAGAACCATGTGTACGTTTACACCACTCATGTACATACAATCCCGTAAGAAATTAAACCCCCAAAAAAGATCAGGTGTTATTATAGAGTCCCTAGCAACTGGCAACATGAGTAATGGGGCTTATATACAGCCATCGGTCGTTACACCGCAGTTTGATAGGATCACAGCTGACACGGTTCACCTGGCCCCTCCTGTCGACATCCTCAACACACTCACCTCACGAGACAATGAAAACAGGTTAAAATGATAGGAAATTGGATACAGTGTGGCAAAATACGGTACAATTGAATGAGAAGTAATTGCGTTAAAGAAACTCAAATGTAACCAAGACGAAGCTACGGGCATGGAAACGGTTTACAAAATTAAACCCACCCTAGGGACAATTCTAAGTGCCAATCCACCATGTGTGGGTCAACACATTCAGGGCGGTACTGGACTATGTTTTGTATAACAGATCCTTTCCTGAATTAGCCTTGACAATGCTATTGGTTAGCAGCACAGCAGACTCACAGGATTTACTCACAGTGGTCAGCATAAATACAGAAGAAGAAAAAATGATACACAATAATCGCAAATACTGCATACTTTAGCAACAACAACAACAACATCAATTCATTGACATTGTCCACAGCTATCATGTATTTGTGTACACACATACAAGTTTACAACAACATTATAAGAATCAAATATATGTGTAATATGCACCCACACAGGGTTTGTGATACAACAATGATCCATGGCAGGACAATTAAATCTACATTTGTGTATGAATGGTGTTTATAGTGATAACTCTAAAGGTAGACAAACCCACATATGATCCGCCCTTGATTTACAGGTCCAGCCCAAAAAAAGTTTCTGGTTCATTTGTTTTCCATAATAAATGTGGGCATGTACTTTTTTTTTTTTAAATTATCATGATTTGTGTTCTTTTATCTTTATCTCAAAATTTACTGAAAATGACAAGAAATACAAATTTCTTTTAAGAGTCTTAGGTTTACATGTATTATGTAAGAGGAAATTTGTTCTTTTCATTGATTGCTAAACTAAATTGAGCATTAATACACGCACGACTAATCACACTGATATAAAACCCAATGAATAATTTATTCAACGTAAGGAGGGTTGGATCTAATTAAAATAAAATATTTTTTTTCTTCATACTACATTTC